TCGCTGTCCCTTTGGTCTGGAAGAAAAAGTATCCTCTGAAGAGAGAATAGTTGGAGGTTAGCACCAGTTCAGCCAAGTCCACAATACAATTAGCGCTGGGAAGAGCATTAGGGGGACATTCATTGAGGTAGAACTTGAGGGCCTCTAGGGCCCCCTGCTGAGAGATGTTAGTGAAGTTGTGTCTCCATATGCAGGGGCGCAACTTTCACTGGGGACGGCGGGGACATGTCCCCCCCACATTCTGAAATTGTATTTCTGTCCCCCCCCAGTTTTATCAATGAAATGTGATACAAAACAAGGCAAATGTGTTAAACAAGTTGTGTGTCCCCCACTTCTAAAACCAAAGTTGTGCCCCTGTCCATATGTCAGTGTGTCTCTAGCAATTGGAGAGCTGATGCATGGCTAGGCTCAGTGATTGATGGAAATCCCTAAGGGTATCATCTCTGATTTAGAGTTAGGAGTTAGGTTTGGGTTAGGGGTTAGGTTTAGGGTTAGGGAAAATAGGATTTTGAATGGGAATCAATTTTGTCCCCCCACAAGGTTAGTTAAACAAGACTGTGTGTGGGTGTGTGTGTGTGTGTGTGTGTGAGAGGGAGAGAGAGAGCAAGAGAGAGGGAGATAGAGAATGTGAAAATAGCGAATGATAAGGAGGGAGAGGTGTCATCAGGACATCTCCATTTGATGCATGTTGATTGCCATGTAAGTAGAAGAAGGAGTACTTGAGTGCAGCTGCAGTATAGTGCATGCACGCCCATTCACTTGCTGCACGGCTCTGTGGTTGAGCAGGTCTTTTCAGGTAGTGCATGACACACACATCCACACACACACACACACACACACACACACACACACACACACACACACACACACACACACACACACACACACACACACACACACACACACACACACACACACACACACTGCAGATTAACAGGCTGTATACAGCAGAATGTCAGTGCCTCCTACAGGCTGTGTGTGAGACGACCTGCAGTGTTACCAGATGGGGTACGGGACAGTGAACACAGAGCCTGCCATTTCTCACACACACAAACAAAACAAAAAAACACATACACATATTTGTTCAATGCCAGATGCCTTTTCACACAGTATCACTCAATTCAAGGCATAAAGGCGGCAGGTAGCTTAGTGGTTAAGAGCGTTGTGCCAGGAACCGAGCCGACTAGGTGAAAAATCTGTCGATGTGCCCTTGAGCAAGGCACTTAACCCTAATTGCTCCTGTAAGTCGCTCTGGATAAGAGCGTCTGCTAAATGACTAAAAAAGTAATAATACATAAATAAAGGCTAGTATCATGGTGCAATCTGCACAGCATGGCTCTTTCAGAGTGGTGGTAGCTTTCATACTGAATCATACTTAACCTCTCTGTCACCTCCCTCCTTTGTCCATACACTTTCTTCCATCATTCAATAATGATTTTCTTTTAATGTACAACCTGCTATTTTACTGCTGGTACATGTGTTCCTTGTAGAGCACTTACAAGCTCTCAGGTCCATTGAGCAGGTACTGTATAGTGTGTGTGTGTGTGTGTGTGTGTGTGTGTGTGTGTGTGTGTGTGTGTGTGTGTGTGTGTGTGTGTGTGTGTGTGTGTGTGTGTGTGTGTGTGTGTGTGTGTGTGTGTGTGTGTGTGTGTGTGTGTGTGTGTGTGTGTGTGTGTGTGTGTGTGTGTGTGTGTGTGTGTGTGTGTGTGTGTGTGTGTGAGAGAGAGAGAGTTGACCAAAATTAGTCGTTCCTGTATACTCTCTCTCTCTCACGCACACACATTGCACGCAAAAACACACACAAACACACACACACACACTTTCTCTCTCTCTTTCACAATTTGAGATAACAAGTGACATGCTCAGCCATCATAGAGCCAGGGCAATTACTTGGCAGGAGTTTTGTCAGGCCTTAATAAAAAACATGGAGGACAGAATGAGGACTGGAGAGATGAGAGGGCTTTCCTCTCTCTCTCTCTCTCTTCTGTCATCCATTTCTCCACTCATGCAGTACAGAGCTACCACACTTGTAACTACTGTACACTGAACAAAAATATAAATGCAACATGTAAGTGTTGGTCCCATGTTTCATGAGCTGAAATAAAAGATCCCAGAAATGTTCCATACGCACAAAAAGCGGTTTTCTCTCAAATTTTGTGCACAAATTTGTTTACATCCCTGTTAGTGAGCATTTCTCCTTTGCCAAGATAATCTATCCACCTGACAGGTGTGGCATATCAATAAGCTGATTAAACAGCATGATCATTACACAGGTACACCTTGTGCTGTGGACAATAAAAGGCCACTCTAAAATGTGCAGTTTTGTCACACAACACAATGCCGCAGATGTCTCAAGTTTTGGGAGTGTGCAATTGGCATGTTGACTGTAGGAATGTCCACCAGAGCTGTTGCCAGAGAATTTAATGTTCATTTCTCCAACGTCACTTTAGAGAATTTGGCAGTATGTACAACCGGCCTCACAACCGCAGACCACGTGTATGGCGTTGTGTGGGCGAGCGGTTTGCTGATGTCAGGCGGTGGGGTTATGGTATCGGCAGGCATACGCTACGGCCAACGAACACAACTGCATTTTATCGATGGCAATTTGAATGCACAGAGATACCGTGACGAGATCCTGAGGCCCATTGTCGTCTCATTCATCTGCCGCCATCACCTCATGTTTCAGCATGATAATGCACGGCTCCATGTCACAAGGATCTGTACACAATTCCTGGAAGCTGAAAATGTCCCAGTTCTTCCATGGCCTGCATACTCACCAGACGTCACCACCCATTGAGCATGTTTGGGATGCTCTGGATCGACGTGTAAGACAGCGTGTTCCAATTCCCACCAATATCCAGCAACTTCACACAGCCATTGAAGAGGAGTGGGACAACATTCCACAGGCCAATCAACAACAGCCTGATCAACTCTGCGAAGGAGATGTGTCGTGCTGCATGAGGCAAATGGTGATCACATTTAACTGACTGGTTTTCTGATCCACGCCCCTACTTTATTTAAAGGTATCTGTGAACAGATGCATATCTGTATTCCCAGTCATGTGAAATCCATAGATTAGGGCCAAATGTATTTATTTAAATTGACTGATTTCCTTATATGAACTGTAACTCAGTAAAATCTTTGAAATTATAGCATGTTGCGTTTCTATTTTTGTTCAGTATACTTCCAGCCGAGTCTGTTTTACTTTAGATATCATCAGGAATAGCAAAGAATAAAGAACCACATTTCCACAGTCAGCGGTCTGTTTTGAATTCATCACTTTGTGTTGCAAATATATTGACCTTCATGTTTCAATGGAAGTGTCTCTTATGTAGGCCTACTGGGCCAAAATGCTACTAGCGTTCTCCTGCTCTGTCTCTCTCTCCAACAATTCTGATGTCTTTAGCGGGAGCCACAGTGTGTGCGTGTGAGGGGCTTGTCGTGATCAGTGATGGAGTGTAGTAATGTTTATCTCCCTTTGATTGTCCCTCTGCAGAGAGCAGATGAGGACTCAGCTGCACACAGACACAGAAATGCAGTGCCCTCTGGTTATACAAACAAGTACACACACACACACACTAACCTACCATCTCAAGTGAGTCACCAACACACTCTAGGCACTGACTGTTTCTTAGAAATATACACAATTAAAAAAAAATGATATTCCAAGTATGCCATCACGTCCCTCTCCTTCACATTATCCTACTCTTAAGTCCATAGACATAAGGAAGTCTTTGTCAATGGGGGAAATTGATGTGGGAAAGTATTATTATTATTAAAAGTACACCCACACAACACAAGCACCATATAAGAATGTTTATTAGGATGCAGATTGTCAATTATTAGCATTTCACATTTACCGTTTTAATATTCATTGTTTTCTGGACATTTTTGACAAGTTGGTGCTTCTTTTGTTATGTGTTCAACAGTCACATACAGTATTGAGGATATTTTTAGCTACACAATTGGAGTGAATAGAGACAAGAGGGGTCATTTTTTACTGAAATATAATTGACCTTGAACTGAACGTTTTCCTGAACCGTGTAGATAACGAGTCTGTTAAGAGAGGGGTGAATTTGAAAGGGCTACAGATATCAGGAATGCGTTCAGTTGTCAAACTTTGCAGATAGAAATGCCATAGAGCCGACGTGCTTCCTTGTTCTACATGCCAGAGAGGTATATGTTTGTTCTACATAGCATATGTTTAACTGAACAAAGAATTTCTCACGTGATGTTGTCATCATCATGTAGGTGGACATACCAAAAAGGTGTAAAGAATATAGGGTCAGTAATATAGGTTATGTCATATAAAAAAAAGAAGATAAAATGCCAACTCATCTGCTCTGGGCAGAATAGTCGCTGGTAGGTAAGTGAGGTTAAAACAGTCAGCAGTGCCACCTTGAAACTTCATTTGTGCAGTAATATAAGAAGTCCAAAAGGTGGCAGCAGAGTCACACTGTTCTGTTAGTAGTGTGAGTCCTCTTCCCAACAGGATATGCCTACATGGTTCCTATTTGAATACAACTAAAATGCATCCTTCCTTCCTAGAAGTAATCCCTGATCTGAGCTGACTGGGTTGGCGAAGCATATTGCTTTCACCTATACTATCATTAAGCATTAAAGGCCTGAGGTGCCTAATTGCTATTATAAATGTTTTGTCTTACCCTTGGTATACGGTCTGATATACCACGGCTGTCAGCCAATCAGCATTCAGGGCTCGAACCACCCAGTTAATAAATCATGGATTATTTCACAGAAGTGGGAAGGAAGGATGTGTTTCTGAAGTATTGGAACAGGGTCATGCTTTCATCTCTTTATCATGATGCACTTTGACCTTTCCCATCATGGCACCCTCCCTTTTGAGTTTGTATGGGTCTTTAGACTCAGTCAATGTTCCTGCCTCAGTCTCCTCAACAGCATATCAATAGGCTCCTGTGATGGCTAGGCTAGGCTACACTTAGCAATTAGCCAGCCTAGCTCCAAGGTAACAAGTGTCACTGTCACTGTATGGGGGTGCAGCGGTGGCTCTTGTAGGTGCCCAGGTGACGGAAGCTCCTCCCACATTGCTGGCAGCAATAGGGCGTGGCACCACTATGGATCCTCTGGTGGGTATAGAGGTTACCCAGCTCCTTGAAGCGCCTCCCACACTGCTGGCACGCGTAGGGACTCTCCCCCGTATGCACCCGCTGGTGCCTCTTTAAGCCTGAGAGCACCGGGAAGCCTTTCCCACACTGGGGGCAAGGGAAGGGGCTCTGCCCGCCGTTGTGCCCCAGCCGGTGACTCTTCAATCGGGCAGCGTGCCGGAACCTCTCCCCACACTCAGGGCATATGAAGGGCTTTTCCCCTGTATGGATGCGCTGGTGCTGCCGCAGGTTGCCCAGGTAGTTGAAATGGCGGCCACAGTCGCCGCACTCGTAGCCCCCTTCCACTTTCTTCTCCCTCGTCCCTCCCCCGCCTCCTCTTGCTAGGCTCATCCCCCCGGCTCCGGCCCCCATGCTCCCATGCTTGGCGTTACTGCTACCCTCCCCCAGAGTGAGGGGTGCAGTGGAGGTGGACTGCAGGGCGCTGTGGGTGCCGGTGGTGTTGCCGTGTATCAGCTTGAGGTGTTCCTCCAGGAACAAGGAGTCGGGGCAGAAGGTTCCACACAGTGGGCAGAGGTATGTGTGGGAGGGAAACTGCTGTCCTGTGAACAGACACATTAATGATTACAGTTATTGCACTCAGTCCGCTAGAGTTCCTAAGCATGGAATTGAAGCATGCAGCCAAAGCAGCAGCAATAAGGATTGGTCAGAAGGTTGTCAACACACTGAAAAACTAAAAAAAATATATATATTTGCAAAATGCATGGAGCAAAAAAGTTACATGTGCAAAGAAAGATGAAGATGACAGATCACAAATGAATGATGACATGAAGTGACGTGTAAAGGTCTTCTCCCTCTCCTCTCACCTGGTTCTAGTCGATCCACATGGTCCTCCATAGAACCGTTACCCTCCCCTCCTGGAGAGCCCTGGAGGGCTAAGGGAAAGTCAGGGGTGTGGGCGTCATGGGAAAAAGGGACTGAGGGATGCTCCAATCCACCATCCCTTTCTTTCTTTGACTCATCACCCTCTTCCTCATCTTTTTCTTCTTCATCTTCATCTGGTGTTGTCTCACATTTAGGCTCCCTCATACCTGCATAAACAAACACATGGTTTGGGTTTTATTATGCCCATTTAGAGAAAAGTAGAGTGGGCCTATACAGCCTTTACATAGACACATGCAACGGTGCAAGACTGGATAACATCCAGCATATCAATTCCCAATTTCTCCCCTACTCCATGACCAATACACATAACAGTGATTGATTGGTGCAGTGAGTGATTGATAAGTTTACCTTTCAAATCCGACGTGTACTCCACCCCCGTCATCCATTCGTAGTCGTAGATCCGTTTGCTTCCCGATGGTAGCATGCCGAATATGTCATCCGTGTTCGAGTCCGAGTCCTCATCTCCAGGCCCCGCGTCAGGGATGGTGTCCGGCCACAGGTTGAGGGAGTGCGGCTGGGGATCGTGGCGGCTGTCCCTGTCGCTACCAGACGGAGGATTGCTCGGGTCGCTGTCCGCTTCAGCACCCCGTGAATTCTTATCTTTCATCAGATAGTCGCAAATGGCATTTATGTTTTCTTTCTTTACGCCAGGCATGGCTGGTTTGGCTTTCTTGGGGTCGTTGTTGTGCTTGCTGCCCGAATGGAACAAGTCAGATTTTCGGAATACAGATGATGCCTCGGTGGTCATTCCGCCGGGGTACGGGTCCCTACCGTCTCTTTGTACCTCCAGTCTTGCTTTTAGGACTTCAATTTCGTCTGTTTTCTCCCGAAGCTCAATTTTCAGAACCCGTATCCTGACGCTGACCATTTTCCTGATTTCGGACAATGCAGTCTCGAGCACCACTTTTATGTTTCTTCCAAGGTGTTCGGTGATGTCGCTCACCGAGCAGAGTATCTCCTCGTCGGGCTCGAATTCCAAGAAATCATCGTCGGCTCGCACCGCAGGCCCCGGCGTGTCCATGAATGCGTTTTGAGCGTCGGGAGAAAGGCTTGTTTCAGTGAAACTGTGGTTTCTTTTGCGGTTCATGTCTTTGGAAGCTTTAAAGTTAGCTAGCTAGCAGACTAGCTACTGTGGTTGGGAGAATCAGCGTCTCGTCAGCAACACTTAAAAAATAACTTCCGGGTCATGGAATTTCGGAAACGTTCAAAATACAAGTACCCAGGTAATAGTAGAAACGTGTCATTAACCTGTATTTATTTATTCATGATGTATGAAAAATAATTGTCTAAACATTAACAATGATTCATATTTGTTCATATTTAAGTGACATTTGTATTACATTTTAGGTTTAGCACATGCTCAGAGGTCAAATAAATGCCCCCATATGCATTACATATATTGTCTTATAGAGGAAAAACTATTATTTGTGCCGATGTAAAAGTGGCTGGGGAGTACTCAGTAGGGTCTGTGGAATCTATATCTGGTGTGATTTCATGGGGCTCTGAATAATCAGGAACAACTTCATTACAGTGGTGTAAAGGACATAGTTTAGAATTACTCAACAAATTGCTGCACAGACACATTTTGTCTAGTTGTATATGACAGGATATGTAGTGTAGAGGTTCTCCACTTTGGTCTGAAAGAAGTAATTCACTTATGCACCGTCAAATGCAAGGAATATGATTCCTCAAAACATAAAGACATTCCTAAACCAACTCAGAGGAAACTGTATTCACTTACAGAATCTCTGTTCTGAGAGGATAGATGTTCTACCTAAGGTACCTGGAATTGGTGGCGTTTTGAGAACGTAATAATACAGGTGAATTTAAAAGCACATTGGATGGCCATAGCTATAAACATTAAAAATAAAGGATGTGGTCGTAATAGTATAACATTGAGTGTTAAAGTAATGAACTCCTTAAAGCAGTATGAGAAGGAACTGGAGGTCATTCTTCACTGACTACAGAAATATCTGGCGCTACAGTATTTGGCATTACATGAAAAGGTTGTGGACATTGTTCTGAAATATGCATTTTCTCATAATTGTGGGAATTTCAAAGCTCAGGTAGATGGAAGTAGTTGTGGTCCCGACATGTGTTGGTTCACTAAAGCAGTCCTATTTGGCAATAACGTCAATGAATTAATCCACAATAACATGAGATGTTGTATTTTGTATAAATTATCCGAAAAAAAGATTATTGCATGAATGTTATTTAAGAACGTGTATATCAGATTCATTGAGTATAATGGTGAACACGGTCCCCATAAAAAACTAATCATATTTGATTAGTAGAGACCCTATTGAGTATTTCCCACCCCACTTTAGCTGAGACAGGTAGAAAAGTTTTCTCTCCACAAGCCAATATGTATCCCATGCACAGTGTATTACAGTGTATTGCATTGGGGGCTATGGAGGGGGTGGAGAACGAAGTGTTGCTGGATATGTATGACACAGTCCTCCTAAAAAACGAATCATATTTGGTTAGTAGAGACCCTATATTCCCACCGCACTTTAGCTGAGGCAGGTAGTAACGTTTTCTCTTTACCGTGCTATATTTGTACTTATAGTGTCCCCGTACCCATGCAACCTATTTAACCAAAGTAAAAGTCCAGCAACACTTGCTATGACCTGGCTTTTTGTTCAAACTCACCTGTTTTGTATTCTAGGAACTCTAGTGAGTAGACTGGACCCTGGTTTTATGGACACACAATCAATCTTTTTTCCTGTATAGTGCAATTTCTTTGTGCAATACAACAGAAATACAGTAAGACTTTTCTTAAACATTACATTTCAAAATTGCATCCTTGAACAGTAGCACCAGTAAATAAACAATAATAATGTTTTATTTTATTGTATTATTGTTTACCAGTAGGCTATTATGTTCTTGACATTAATTTACTTAAGCTCCAACCATTTCTCAATGTGCTCCACCTTATAAAATTATTTATCTTATATAAAGTAGTAATTCTCTTTAGTTTAGATGTTTCCCCCATGTAGTTCTAACTGTTTTTATACATAATGTTAACATTATGCACTATGCAAAGCTACAAAAAAATATTGATTTCGTATCATACACATCGCATTTTATCGCAGTCTTTTATTTTAAAGACAAAATCCGAAAACCGGAAATCTTGATGTGGATAGGATCCAGCTAGTGTTGCTGCCGTGACAGTACAGTCAGAGTTTCTAAACCCAGAGGCGCAACATCGCAATACTTCCGGAAAGGCTTGCGAAACATACCAAACAGACCAGGCTGGGGTTTGGGATTTGAGAAGTCAATGAGAGAAGTCAATAATTAAATAATAATAATAATAATAATATGCCAATTAGCAGACGCTTTTATCCAAAGCGATTTACAGTCATGTGTGCATACATTTTTACGTATGGGTGGTCCCGGGGAGCGAACCCACTACCCTGGTGTTACAAGCGCCATGCTCTACCAACTGAGCTACAGAGGACCGCAAAATTCTTCCTTAGTTGTTAATTTTCTCGAAATCTAAAGGCACATCTAGATTCGAGCGAATGTCTTACGTAGTTGAACATGTTATTACTCCAACCTCGTGAAAGTGACAAACTGACACGTTTTAATTTTCGTTAAAAACAACATTATATCGAAGGAGTGCCTATGATTTGACGGCCTGCACATGCGCAGTTTGGCGGGAGACGACCGTTCTACCACAGATAGAACAATGAGACAGATATTTCACCAGATGTATAAATGTGAAGCATCCGCTTGGCTTTTCCACTCACTTGTGGTGAGAGGAAGCCCAGCGTCTGGCAGTGGGGAGAAGATGGAACGAGATGAATTTTGGCCAACATTCTGCAAATGTTCTCATCTATGAAACATTTGATCTCAATACAGTTTTTTGTTCCCAAAACTAGAATCTGTTAAGAACAGAGTGGATTAAGTTTTGTATGTTGTTCCCAAAACTAGAATCTGTTAAGAACAGAGTGGATTACGTTTTGTAGACTTTACTCTTTGCCAAAGTTTCCAAAAACTGCGGTGTTTAGGAGTGCAAGGGCGAATTGAGTTATTGCACACGCGCACTTCACAGGGTATGCGTTCCCTAACGGAAATATGCAAATGCATGCTAGAACGCGCCAATAGGATCTCGCTAGCTCATGCTTGTTCTGCCCACTATGACTCATTTGTTCCCATTGGAAACAACAGGCTGTGGTATATCTTGGGTTAGTTATAAACATCTTTGGTGATACCAAAGACGTGTTTCTGCGCATGAGCTTAGCTAGCCAACGTCGCAATGATATCGCCTACAAGTGTGAGCAGGGTTTCTATTGTAGAAGCAGTTTCTGCCTATCTTTATATTGTACTGTCTTTGGTACAGAATATGAAGATAGGCTGAAACTGCTTCTGCAATAGAAATCCCCCGATCGCATCTGGGTTTAGACATCCAGACATGCGCCACAGAGTTCCAAGTGCAGATTTTTGTGCAAATGGGTGGTTGATTTGAGAAGTAGCGCCACCCTGCCATGCTTTCAAGTCTTTGTTGTTGTATTGTCTTCAAGCGTCCAGCAGATGTCATTGTTGACCTATTTTTTGTATTATAAATGTTTTCATATTTTTTTGGTTATTTTTTGGTTAAATTTTTTATTTTTTTACAGACGCTCTTATCCAGAGCGACTTACAGTTAGTGAGTGCATACATTTTTTTTCATACTGGCCCCCTGTGGGAATCAAACCCACAACCCTGGCGTTGCAAGTGCCATGCTCTACCAACTGAGCTCCACGGGGCCCAATTGAATCCATTAGTCTTTCACACCCACTCTAAATGCTATGACTTTATTAGTCCTTCCTGTCAGAAATATTATTTGGGTTCATCTCCACCACATAATGCTATTATGTAATTGTCCATGCCATAAAAGTGAGTCATGGAGGCATTATAGGTCATTCTATATAAGGAGGTCTTTGCCAGTCACTGTACCAGAGTACCCACCCCCTTCCACCCTGAAATAGCCACCAATCAAGGGTGAGTCGAGGTCTAACACATATGCCTACACATATTTACATTTTAGTCATTTAGTAGACGCTCTTAGTGCATACATTTTCATACTGGCCCCCCGTGGGAAACGAACCCACAACCCTGGCGTTGCAAGCACCATGCTCTACCAACTGAGCTACACGGGACATATAGCCTGGTGGTTGGCCATACATAGTTTAACAAGCCAGGTTTATGGTACTGCTGCAGTTGGATGGACTGCTGCAGTTGGATGGACTGCTGCAGTTGGATGGACTGCTGCAGTTGGATGGACGGCAGGTAGCCTAGCAGTTAAGAGGGTTTTTGGACCAGTAACCAAAATGTTGCTGGTTTGAATCCCCGAGCCGACTAGGGGAAATATTTGTCGATGTGCCCTTGAGCTAGGCACATAACCCTAATTGCCCTTGTAAGTCGCTCTGGATAAGAGTGTCTGCTAAATGACTAAAATGTCAATGTTTATGTAACTTCATCAAGGTCTCAGATGTATTCTACAGTGCAATGAGTGAGTGCACACTGAAATGCAATATGAAATGCAATATGCTCATTAAGATACATTTATTGACATCAGGTTCTTATTTTCATCTGCTGGCTGAGTTTGAGATTGAGTTTCACTTCTAAAAGTTGTTCATCTGTAACACCTATTAAACAACTGCATGCTGCCCTCATGTGGGGGACATGACAGATAAATAGCAGTAAATAGAAACTGTATCTAGGCTACTCATACAGTATGTTATCTTGTTAAGTATCTCTTACCCAAGGAGATGTTGTGATACTTCAAAGGTCAAGTGTTGATGTTTTTCACTTCAGCACCTTCAGTAAACACCCGGGATAGTTCAACCAAATTACAAAATCACAAGTTGGTTTCCTTACCCTGTAAACAGTCTGACAAGGTAAAACAGCAATCCATGCTTTGGTTCTGTTTACCTGGTCACTCTCTCCAAGTGAGAAATGGAAATGTATTGATCTAATATCATAGGTGACATTGCCTTACCCTTTAGAACCTATAATAGACTAAATGTGATTGGTCCATTGATCATGTAAGATAAATGAATCCAATTGGTTTTCCTAGTGGTGGAGATATGCCATTGAAAGGATGACAGATATGTTAATTGCAAAACTTTGCTTTAGCTAATAATAAGCTAAAGAAGATCTTCTGACT